AGGCGAAACGTTCACTCTGCGATGACTTTCAACGACTAGCCTTGGCTCGCGTTTCAACAAAACCTTCGGGACGGCGCGGCGACTTCTGAGAGTTTAGTGCCGTGTCCCCTCCCAGCGCCGCTTGTCAGTGGTGCGCCCTACGTGTTGTGCTATTTACTTGAAGGAACTTCTTAAAGACTAATAAAATTAGTATAACTTGTTTATGATCTTAAATAAATGCAATATGACTGTGAATTGATAATAATGACACTAGTCCCAATGATATTCTGATTAAATGTCTGATGCTAGTCATAGTACTATATGTCTAGTCATCTAGTTGTCAAAGCGATTTTTTTCGATTGATTTTTAAGTGTTTAGGATCTGCAAATATTTTTTGCCTGCACGGCTACCATGCTCGCTGTATTATTTTTTTCGAAAGTATAATCAGTTGACTATCTTACGGAAGAAAGAAAAGAAGCTTTTATAGGTAGGTAACGTAAGGTTGGAGCAAGGTGGCGTCACGCGCATTTGTGATTTCACTGTTAAATGCAGGTCGACGTAGAAGGGTTTATGTATTCTTTCGTGGAAACTGTAACTTGAACTCTCTGACTTGACATTTTAGTGCAAGTCATTACGAAAATCGCCAATGTTGCTGTCAATGGTGTTAGTAAATTTGCCAACACACTCGCAGAAAGTCGATCTCGTTAAAGTACATCCAAGTACTTGAAAGTACACTCAATTGTCCTTCTTTGAAAATAATTGACGACAGGTTGAATTTAGACAAGCTTAACTCCAAAATAAGATGCCAACAATACGCACCTCATTCTTGGGGCAAATTGTCACCAGTTTCGCGCAGAGCAGTTGTCATCGTTCACGTAACAATGCCAATGGCGGCACTGCGTTACGTAGAATTCCATCTCTACATACTGATAGAAAATGTATTACTTCAATTAAAAGCAAAAAATATAATATTTATGATGTAGGAAAAAGACGAAGAGCTATTTTATGTGAAGAAATATATCAAATTAAAAACAATTTCGTAACATAAAGCATTTTGGGCTTTTTCATGGAAATGCGTCATATAATTCTCGAACGATTATTGGCTAGATTGCGAACTTTCAAACCAATCTCGTCACGCTTTGTACCATGGTGGGTAGAAGTCGTCAGTCTTCAGGAGATCCCATAGGCTGCGTGTCCATTTACGTGTTGACGTCTTAGATATTTAAAGTAAGTTCAAGTCCCAATTTTTGTTAATTTTACTAACGCACGTAGTATTTGATTTCACTAACATTTAAAAACATCATATTGTTGAAAGAATATGATTGCTGAATATAATTGATGAAAGATTTAGAACCTGTGTACTAATGAACTTCCAACTAAAGAATCACTTATGTATTCCTTACAACAAATTATATAATAATTATTAATTGAAACAATTGTTTAATAGAACTAAAAACTTTTTATATGGTGAGCAACAATTCTCCACTATTAAATCTATTGAAAATTTACGAATATTTTCATAGTGTCAAATTTCACTTCATAAAATTATGAATGAATAATTTTTAATATTAATGGCTGCTGTACATATATCTCTAAAATTAAATACCCACAATAATGATTCTTCTATTCCATTGAAAGAAGTGACGTTTAATAAAGCCAATTTGTTTTGTTACCATTAAATTATAGCAAAATAACTGACTGAAAAGTAAGTATCGCCCGCTAGTTCTTACTCTTTTGCATTCACTATCTCTTGAAAATAATAAAGGAAGTTATTTATAATCATGTTAACGTCATAACAATATCTCTATAGTGCAGGAATTGAAACTGATTGGAATATTTTTACAGGAGTTGTTTTAAACAAAAATTGTTCAAAATATTTAGAATTATTAAAAATATATTATTGATGACTTGTGGTAATATTGAATGTAGTACAGTATAAAAACAACTAATAAAGGTGAATTTGGCATGAATTACAATTTTTTTATTTGTGGAAATGGAATGTAAATTCACCCTAAGGAAAAAAAATTTAATTGACAAACCGCTCGTAGATTATTATGATGAATACTTTAAAATGGGTAAGGGAAACTAATTTGTGAAGAGGATACAGCTTATCAGATTGATTTTTAGCGATGTAGATAATAAAATGTTTAATATATGGTGTCTACTATGTTGTGTAATATATACCTCGAGAAAGTAGTACATAACATTGAGATCAATTCTAATGGAACAATTTTGAATAGAACAGTGCAAATTTAGCCTTAAGTAGATAATGAGGTGATAATTAGTAGAACACAAAAAGTCTTGAAAGAAGATTCAGCAACTGATGAAAAAATTATTTATAAGAATATGTAAAGTCAGAATGACACTGCACTAGTGGCTCCTACTCCTCTCTTGGGAAAAATCCTAGTTTCACCGCTGTTATGTAAGTATGGATTATCCAAAATTAAATTGATTAGTTATTTAATTATACTAATAATAATTTTATTACTTTTAAAGATTTACACCTTTGTAGCAAATATAACATTAAAATGATACAAAATATTATTAATTGAATTTTGGTGTTTTCACTTGCTTTGTACCTGTAAAAACACACATTTATTGTTTTTATGGGAGTGAAACATTTGCAGTTTAATGAGATTGCATATTTATACCTGATACAAAAAAAATCAAATGGTAATTTCAAAATTATAATTTTATAAAATTGTAAAATATAATTAAATAAAATTGCATAGAAATTAATTTTAAGGAAATTAAGTAGGATAGTAGCAAAAAATGTGGTACAGAAGGATCTGCCTGCCGAGAACTCCTGACAAAATGAAAAATGACAGGAGTGTCTCGGAGGAATTATGTCGTACAGCAGCTGAAAGTCTTTTGGCAAAAAAAGAAGGAAAGAGAGAAGAAATGGTGGGAGTCCAATAATAATAACAACAATGTATAGCTGGTTGAAATGATCTGCATGAAACTATTATCTTGTTCTACTTAAACCATGAACAGTGTTACAAAAATTAAGTCGAATAACAGATAATCTAGAATATTCAAGTACAGAATAAATCCTATGTATTGCTAATTTCCAAGGCAAAAATTGAAAGAAAACTATGCACTCTCTGCCTGTGTGAGAGGTGCGTACATTTTCATTTGATACATTTTCATTTGCAAAATTTCAAAAACAATTAAACAGTTTCAATTTTGATTGAAAAATGCAAATATTTGTGGTATTAATGTATTCTCATTTTGAGCAATTTTTACCGAATTCTCATACTCAGTACATTACTGCTTACAACACACAATGCAATATTGATATGTAGTGCGTCTGACATAATGGCATAAGTAAGGCTCCAAGGAAGAGGCCTCCAAGCCATTAAATAATATTGATTCATAAAGAATTGTTGAACATTGTATCTATTTATATTGCGCCTTGCAGTATTATTGTGGTACTTTTAAAAAAGAATTAATTAAGTCCTTGATGACTTGGTGGTTAGCATGCTCACTTTCCATGGTGCAACCTGAGATTCGATTCGCGGTTGAAGCAAAAATGAATTGTGCACTTTCCTTGCAAATCTGTTGCTGTGTGATGATGAGAAAGTGTTCTTCTCAGGTTGAGACAAGACTATGGCATAGTAATGGCTATGTGCTAACCACACTTACCCCTTAACCCATGGCCGCAAAGCCAAGACATTGCTAGTAGGTGTGAGCTCGTAAAGAGCTGTTGTGCCAAAGTACATTCATACATACATACATACATACATATATAAATACAAAAAATGAAATTAATTTTATTTACGTAACCCACTGTTCCCATCATGAGAGTTGGCAATATGAAGAGTATGATCATTTGATAAAGAGCAGGTTTTCCCAAACATTTTTGGTTGCAGAATCCTTTTGAAACAATTTTAAAACTGTCAACCTTCCACAGTAAACTTTACCTACCCAAACTAAACAAAGTTTTATAGGAACACTGTATTACTGTAAATTATTATGTCTGCACATCTCTTCTAATCAGTTGACATTCTAGGCCTAGGTTGAAAATTTCTGTTTTACTAGAACCTTTAGTGGACACTTTTCTTAATCTCGTAAGTGAACATTTTTTATGGGGCCTGAACATACCCATTGTAGACAGGTTTCACTAAATTTCAATGCATATCAAAAATTTATTTTTATTCACTTGTTAATATATAATTTAAAAAAGTATTATCACAAATGGGATTATCACTTGCAACATGAAATATCAAAACCTGCCTCTATTTTATGAAAAAGTATGAATGTTCATATGTGTGATTCATTTTGTAATGTACACAACATGTTTACCTTTTTAAATTGTTAGGTACCATAGATATTTTCAACTAACAAGATATAATAATGATAATGATAATAATTTATTGATTAGTCAACTCTGAGACCTTTACTTTTAGCTATTATTGAGAGCTATTTTTTATTGAAATAATTAATTTCTAAGAAAGTTGCAATCGGACTCGGATGCTGACGCTAAAAATCGTACTCAAAAAAGGGGATGAATCCCAGGGACGTCAAAAATGTAGATCAAAGATAGCAGATAGCTCCTCACTTTAGAACAGGAAGGGTTCCAGTACAGAAGTATTTTTTAAATTGTGATGAGGTTGGTGACCTGCGATAATTGTGTGTATTTTTATAAATGTAGAAAATATCCTAAAATAATAGCTAGCAGTTATGTAACTTCTTTATCAGAACAGTTTATCATCCTTTTTGTACTTGAACCACAATCACAACAATATATTTATTATTTTATGTACCTATACAACATAAAGTTCAATTAAGAATGTTAAATTATCACTAGCCTTAATGTTAGATTTAACTGTGAATTGCTTCCAATTTACATGTTTATTCTCATCAATATTATCATAGGTTTAGAACTTCTTTTATGGGATATAGTCTTATTGTATTTCTCCTCCTAGTCCTACTCCATACTCCTACTTCTATTATACTCCTGTCCCTTAGAAATATTTGTTTAAATCTATTAATTATATAATAATGAGTGCTATTTTCAGTCCCCAAGCCTAGACTTATGCCTCAAGGATTTCTGCTTTCCTTGCAAATCATCACTAGGGTATTTGCCATTACCTTCCACCAAAATATTTTTATAATAAAACCATTTTTGCAAAGCTTCTTTTTTAATATATTATCCAAGGTCTCAACATTTCAAAATATGGAAATTATGAATTAATTTAATTTAAAAATTGCTATTCTTGTGTTAATTAATTAATTCCAAAAACAGTTAAAAACTGTGTGTGACATACTATGAGGAGAAGTATAAATTAAATAATATTATTAATTATAATTTAAAATAATTTTTGAAATAAATGAGTGTATACACTTGGACTTCCCTTTAATACAATCAGCACCTGTGCTGAATGACAACTTCTAATGAATTATCTTGTTAAAAAAAAAATGGTTTTATTTAATTGACAGAGCAAAGTAAGATCCTAATTTAATTCAACTGTTCAATACTTTATCAGTCTGAAAGTTGTGCTAGTTCATCTTTGTCTTTCTATCAGTTACCTTGGATTTAAGATGTTGACAAGGGTTATGCGGTATGTTTGGGTTTCACTGCAGTGTGGGTGTTGTGATAGTGTTATTCCAGCCACAGCAATATCACTATTTACTGAATAAAATTTTAGTAAAATATATTTTTAAAGAACTTTAAGAAGATATTTCATATTTTCACAGATAACTGAACTGATTTAACTCCACGATTTTGGTGCAAGTGTAATATAAACTAAAATTGGATTTATACATTAAAACATTTGAATCATGCTCTAGCAACATGGAGATCATAATATCTTGTTTATAGGCTTTTTGCTTGGAGTTTATATCTTAATACTTGGAGGTAATGATTTTTAATTATTAATTCAATTGATTCATTCTTTTTCTTCTTGTCTCATTTAATATTACTAATATATCATAGAACAATGTGCAATATTAAATGATAATTCATTAAAAGTAAATAACCATATAATTATCAGAAAATATTCTTTTCAAACAAACTGAAAATTATTACTACTACTACTATTCATTTACAATGACAAAAAATTGCATAGTATATCATTATTTCACACTCTCCCACTGAACCAGTATCATACTCACAAGGTTATAAACCTTGAGACATAACGCCAGTTTTTGTGTCCCAAGAGACCTGTTATGTTTTTATGTCGTTATCTACAAAAATAGACCCCTTTGAATGTTCTATTATTTTTTTATGGTTCAATCACTGCGTATGACGGGTTGCGAAAAACTCTGAAATTAGGGTTCCAGACTGAAATTATTTTCACTTTTACAACAAAAAATTAGAAAATTGTTTTTTGGAGATTGGAATTTTTTGGCAAAACATTTTCGAGGCTCTTCTATTACAATTTGTTTGCTCTCCTGCGAACTATGTTAATCAGGATTTCATCCGACAGGGGAGACACGGGTTTATACACCGCAGTAATATTTGTAAAAGTTTTTCGTAATAAACAAATGATGCTACAACTTAACTTTTCTCGTATTGTTTTTAACTTTTAAAATTTTTGAAAATTCATAGAGTTCAATTAAAAAGAATCCTGTGAAGTTTTAAGCATTTGTTTCATTTGAGAAATAATTAAGAAAAAATGTGAAATCATTAATGAAAAAATTTAACTGCCTTTATTTCAAGCAAAATTACGCAAAATTACATCAACTTTTTTAAACATTGTCACTCTATTTTGTAGAATATATTACATTAAGGTAAAATATTTATCGTTAATATTATAGTTTTGCAATGTTAATTTATTGTAACTTTGGAAAATGCAGAGACTTCACTGAAAATGGAACCTGTACCATTTTTATGAGTTTGGGAAATAAATTAAATAAAAAATAGGAGCAGTTGTTGAGAGAAAAAATGGTTCAATATCACCTATATTTTACGCGGAAACTACTCATATTTCGGAAAAATTGTACATGACCTCATTTAAAATCTATCTTTAAAAAACAGATTTCCTTGAGAAACAAAATATTGACCTTCGGTACTGTAGTTGAAGGAAGACGCAGAAAAAATAGAAATTTAGCAATTTGACAATGCAACGGAAAGTAGTCTAAACTTCAACAAATCACACGCAATGCAGTTTTCATGCTATCAGATTCAAATGTTTACGAAATCGGAATGAAAAATATGTAACAAAAATTAGCTGAACATAAAATTAATTCATAAATAAAAATGTCTTAACATAGGAAGAAAAGGAAAAAAAAAAAAAAAACTTGGAAGAAAAAACACCATTCTCTTTATCGTACAAAAAAATATAAATCATATTCACAAAACTGGAGACCAAGAGCCCTAATGATAGACTGTTTCCATCAGTCCCATCTAGAATTAAAAAAAAAAAAAAAAAAAAAAAAAAAAAAAAAACACACTCATTTATTTAGATGTAAACAATTTTTTGTCCATAGTGATGTGGTCACCGCCAAAAAGTAAGACCTATCGTGAGAGATCACACAAAAGTGGATCACGCTCTTCCATGGAGAATCGTGAAATAGAAACTTCACTTCATAAGGTATTATTATTATTATTATTATTATTATTATTATTATTATTATTATTATTATTATTATTATTATTATTATTATCATTATTATTATTATCATTATTATTATTATCATTATTATTATCATTATTATTATTATTATTATTAGCAAACCACCTTAATGCGAAAACTACTATTTTTCAAAAGGGGAAAAATTATGACATTAATTATAGTTTATTATGAAGAACAAAAGAGAATTCGAAGAGAAATATCTATCTTCAACAATGTAATTGTACAAAAGAGTTCAATAAATTTGAAACATTTGCAATTTTGGTAATTCTGAAATAATAATGAAAAATGATCTATATAATTTTTATTAATAGATTTCACAAAATGTAACAAGAAACTTAAATAAAAATTTCGAACTATTTTCCAGAAAATATTGAAAATACCGCAGGGACGTCTTGTAAAAAAGTACCCCCAATATTTAATGAATTCATTACAAATTCGCAGGGCTTCGAGCCAGGCGAGACCGAACTGGAAATATTAATTTTGGAGTCAATACCGCGAATGTTTTCGACGAAAAAAATGACAAAACTACGTTAAATAAACTTTTGGAATCAGGAAACTTCAAAACGTTTATTTATGTTAAAATCTCGATGTCGGTTTTCTGCTGTACCAACTCCAGTTCATTTTATACTTCGTATACTACTCCGTGTATTAGTACGTTTACGACAGTGTAACTATTGGTGCTTCTGAATGGCTCGTACTAGTCAGTGTCAAATTTCTTTCGGCGTCCAAAAGACTATCAGGTTATCTCGCGGTACCTACCGTGCCTCTGGGGTGTGGTGAAGAGCAGCCTCGATGACACAGCGAACATATCATAGACCTACGCTCACTCGCCAGTTGGTCCTTGTGTTTCCCGTGGCATTATTTATTCAAGGTCACAACACTTAAAAACTATACGACGTATTAAAGGGGAACATATTCACATGCGCGAAAAGTGGCAAAAGTCCCCGCCGCCTTGACTTCGCGTCTTCGCCACAACTGTCGATGGGGAGGGGGCGGTCTGGCCCTATCCGATTCCGCGCTTCATAGGCAGGTCTACGAAATCTTTTAGCTGCTTAGACGACTCGGTTGTGAATTCCCAATTAGACCCTGATCGATCCAGTCAGGTGAGAGGTACCGACACTTTCCCTCACGCGAATGAGAGAACGCATCAACTTACGGAGTTGCGTTCTTTGAAGGGATCTACAATTCCGTCCGGGGAGAGGTGGGGATCTACTTTGCAACTCTCCTCCGAGGTACGGCCTAGTACTACTGTTGCGAGGCTGACTCGGAGCAGGAGCGAGCGAGTCGCCTAGGCAGAGGGGTGGAGCGTAACACGTATTCCATAAAGGGGTCACCCATAAATTACGTGGGGACTTAGGGGAGGAGGGGTCAAGGCGAATCCCACCGAATATACGTGAGGGAGAAGGGGGATCTCGCTTCGCTAATTTTTCGCAAAAACGGTGCTAAATTGCGAGAAAACTGAAACAAGTTAAGTAAAACATGTAATTACTAAGCTATGGCTACTTTCTTCACTACTAAATTATGGCTAAATCTTGCACAATAATTTTTATCGCGGTTATGTGAATGTAACAAAAAGTAACTGAAAAATCGAATCTAAAAAAATTACCAAACTTTTTATCCTTAATGCAATAAATCTCATTACCTATATTTTTACAGACATTTTAAAGAAAAATTACTAAGAATTAATTATTGTACTGTTTTTAGAAGCTCAGTAATATTAATTGTAATTCAGTCACTCTTATTTTCTAAATACTAGTCATATATAGTCTTAAATAAATGTAATTAAGCAACTTACGCTTTTTAAATAACTTCTAATGCAATCAACAACAAATTAACGTATTTGCATTAAAAATACGTATTGAAAAAATCTCACGTTAGGTGAAAAGGGGGAGGGGAGTCAAAAAACCGCCAAATTCGCCTCGCGTAATTTATTTTTTTATAGCTACAATTAAACATGCATGAAATATATACCAGAAAATTATGTATGTAGGTCTATAAACTAAATGAAAACAAATCGAATCTCCGTTCGGGGGGATAAAAGCAGCTGTGCATGTTCCAGGGATCGTCCAGTGCTGAGTCGAGCGGTCGCGCCGCCCTTTCGGCGCCCTCGTCGTCGGCGTCGCCCACGGCCTCGCCCTCGGCGTCGCCCACGGGGTCGCCGCCGTCGCCGGTGGTACACCGCCGGATCCTGGAGGAGATGCGCGAGGAGATGGAGCGCCTGCGCGGCCGCTCGCATCGCCACGGCGGCGGTGGCGGCGGCGCCCGCTCCAGCAGCGCGCACGACTACGGCCACGCCCACTCGCACGGCCACGGCCACGCCCACTCGCACGGCCACGGCCACGCCAGCGGCGGCCCTCTGGGGCCGCGCCGCGCGCGCTCCCGTCACCGGCCGCGCCCACCACCATCACCGCCAATCACCAACCATCACCACCAGGCCCCGGCCTAGACCACTCGTGCCGCCTTCCCGCACAGCCGCACCACTCCGCCCCGCCCGCGTCACGCGCTCGCCCGCCCGCCTCGGCCGCCCCCGCCTCCACCGTCGGCGCCTCCGGCGAAACCGTCGGCCCGCGGCCCCGCTGGGCCCTGTGCGAGGCCAACCGCGCCTCCATGGGCCACTTCGTCGCCCAGAACTCCAGCTTCGGCAATCTCATTTTGCCGGTGCTGCCTCGTTTTCCCATCGACATGCCGCCGCAGGATTCCAAATAAAAATGTCGCTGGACTTGTTTGGCTGCCCCGTATGTGCCGACTCATATTAGTTGTGAACTCAAGTATTCCCACAGCTCAAAAGTTTAAAAATATCTTAATACTACTGAGTTTGGACCTGCAGCAAATGTTTGTCCGAAAACAAAAATGTGACTGAACAAAGCATGCTACAAATTGATTATCTCAGTTTCGAGTTGTAACTAATAATTCCGTCATTCCAGAAACAAGAAACTTGTAGCATGCATGGCTGTCAATTGTTTCGGGAGGTCAGGATGATGCCCCTGGGCCATAATATCAAGTATTTACGGCAGTCGTTTTATAAAATCTTATTCCGCGTTCTATTAATCTTAAGCATTATAAATACTTATTAAATTTGTACAAATCAAAATGAAATTTGATTACTTATAATAATTCTTCCTGGAATTAAATTTTTATTCTCCCTACGTAAATACTTTTTAAAATTTTATTATATTATATTTTTAATATTTGGTTCAGAATGTATTAATTACGAATATTACTTGGATATTTTGAGCAGTCTACGTTTCATTATCAACGTAAAGCGCGAGATAGTAAACGCCACCATCGAATGATGGAACGAACTATAAACTAGACACAAAATGCGTCAAAAATATTGTGGTCTGTAATAAATTGGTGGACTGTAGCTACAAATTAAAAAAAACCTGATTCGGACACACATGTATAGCTTTGAATTCCGGTATATTGCTGATGTTTATGAAGGGCATGATAAGAGGCATGAGGGCAGACAACAAATGAAGAGGCAACACACCCGTAAGTGTTCTCAGTATTTAAAATGTACTTAATGCAGAATGGACTGTAACATGTATTCTAAATAATTATATATTATATGAAATTGAATACCTTATTGTTCTATAAAGATAAAGAAACCATTGCATTGCTGTGAACAATTGTAGTAACATTAACATTTTTATTTAAAAAATTTACGATTTATGTGATTCTAACTAACACTCAGTTAAAAGGAATAGATGGTATTTATTCACATTCGATATTAACTATATTCAATAAATTCATCTTAATTTCGTTGGAATGTATGGATCATTAAACGATGATGCTCCGTTAACTCATAATTGATATTTATTGAAAATTTCGTGTTTTTTCATAGACATTTAATGATTTATTCACATTACCTGTTATAATGGTTACAACACATCAGTCGATACAATGAATTTCACGATTGTTAAAGATTTGAAACCAAAGTGTCCTTATTGATAAAGAATAAAATCATTTCAACTGTTTAAAATAAAGTATTATACTAATATTGCTTTTGAAAAATTGTAATAGTCATTTTACAAGATTTTTGTAAATAGAGCATGTTTTTCAGTAGGATGAACTGTATTCAGTTATTTGGTCAGGAACAAAAGATAAATAATACTCCCCTCTTTGTATTGAAAATGCATGAGTAATGTGTCGTTAATTTGATATTTAAAGAGAGATTCATTAACTCATTTTTATGACCATTTCAAAGAAGGAAGGAAATGTAAAATTTTGTACTCATGTTCTATTAGTACTTTCTAGATCACTGAACCAAAAATTAGAGATGTTCATATTTTTTTGAACATCACTAGAACTACCAATAAAGAGAAACTTTTCCAGGGTAATGATGTCAACTGAATTTTAATCGTTTTAGAGGTTTGCTCAATTAGTTGTAAAACAATGTAACTTGAATGTGTATTTTATTTCAGTAAAGCTGCTGTAAAAAGTATATACGCATTTGATTCAGAGTGTGTAATTTTATCAGTTAGCTTCTGTGTTTACAAGAAATTGTGCACAATGCAATCAGTGAATGTACACGATTCCTGTTTAAATAGTAACAATAAATGTGTCATTATCGTAAGTTGTGTTTTTCTAGGAACATCCGTCCTCTAGTTCCTCATGCTGAAATAGTTCCTTGCTTTGCAAGGGTGACCGATGTCTGAAAAAACAGGGAATATCTAGAAAACAGAAGAGAATCGAAATAAAGAAATTATGCAAGGAAATGGCAGGTCACGTAAAAAAGTGGGCATTTGAATCGATTCTGAACCGATGAGGAAGGAAAGATTAATGCGGAGTCACCCGATAGCCTCCGTCGGTCAGGTTCCCCTCATACCCACTTTCACACAAATCCTTGTTACGTATTTACTTGACTTCTCTCCCGCAACAGTTTATGCTCCCGTCGACGCCCGCGAACGTGGGATTTTCCAACGATTTCAGCTACCACTGCGTTCCACTTACCCTACGTCGCTGTCGTTCTCTTGAGAAAACCCTACCCTACCTCGCTCTACATCACTCTTCAGAAAATGTAAAAGAACTCCAGTCACAACAAAAAGAAAATATATTGTTCGTAAGTTCTGGATGGGTAATAAATTGGCAAACTGTTATCTGCTTCTGCGAATATTTTGTTCTGTATTTTTGAACCACCGATTAATTATAACTAATACCTTCCCCAAGGTCCCGCCCATCTTCTAATCACTTGAAGACGCTACTAATTGGGTATATTAACAAGATTTCTACTTTAAATATAACATCATAATCATCATACGGCCATTTCTTTCGAACTCTAGCCAGCCTCTACCAAAAACAAATCGCCTACATAACAACCCATTACATTTCTCAATTGTTTGTTCTCTTACGAGCTGTTACACTCGTACCAATTTCTTTATATTCATTTTGTAACAATGCCGTAGCAGAGATTGCGAAGGCAAATGTTCCTTGTCAATATCAACTTCAAGGATCTTAAGGCCCTTATCACTTTCAGGTATCGCAAGTTCGAATCCCACCTCGGCCATGGATATTAGCGTCTGTGCAGTGGCATCAGGCTTTTCCAAACCATGCAAGACCAACATTGAATTTTATATAATACTATGTTGCATTTCGGTTGTGTACATGCCTCCAAGCAGGCCGGAAAGGCTTTAACGGGCCTTGTTTACGAAAACTTGGATAAACTTTCTTCCCATTTGTAGTAAATTACTTTAACTCGATGAGAAGTTAGAATTCGTGTTTTGTGAGTCATTGATAACGAAAGAGTAGGTTTATAGTAAAAGGTCTGCCTGTTCATAAAGTGTTTACTTCCCTTTCCGTCGACAACACAGTATGCATACTTAGCAACTAGTAACAATGCTCAATTCTACCATAGTAGCATCAAAGATCGTCAGCGTTTGACCATTACCAAAAATACTGCACTCGAAAAATATTTAATTACGCAAAAACGTATTTAAATTTTCAAACTTTTAGATTCCATTCTTTTTATAAATCATTTAGACATCATTACTGTATCTGACATGACTTATTTCCATTCTACACATAAATCTTATTCACTTTGACCCTCTTCTGGATCTAGCGGCTCACTTTACTAACCACTCTATTAGTGATTTCATCCTTCATTCCAAAAACACAAACCTATTTAAATAGATCTGCTGTTGGCCACGACCTTTAACATTCTTTTGTTCTTGGCAGACCATTGTTAAAAACTGCTCGATAGTACTAATCACGTTTTTAATTCATACTTCGCCTGATTAACTTTCTGGTGACTAACTATTTATTATTACTTTATTTGATTCCAACCAACCCATATTGGTGAGTGGTAACCAGCCCTAAACAATATTTCTGATTAAAAATGGCTGCAGAGGTGAGAAGGGAACTCAAAACTAAAAATTCGTTAGTCGAAAATCAAGAGCTTGTTTGAAGGCTTCAGCTGAAAAAGAGAGAGAAGGAAAAATATTTTCTTAAAGATCACGTAACACAAAACTAAGGCTTGTGGAAGCTAGGGAAAATGTCAAATGCAGCGAAACTTTGCTATCAACGTAGAGACACAAACACTTTGTTTAGTTTGTGGTTACTGGTTTTAAAGTTGAACTTCATTCCATTTTTTTAAATATTCAGTATAGATTTTTTAAATTCAATATGTTTGAAAAATTTTTGTATTTAGGTCAAGTAATAACTAAAAAATGTCATTTAAGTAAATTTAATTGATATGTTAGACTATTGGATATGTTAAACTTTTATTCGTTTATGCAGTCTTTAACATGTTTGAAAACCTTTGTACAACATAAATCAGGCGAAAATAATGAAAATGGGAATATAATCAACAATAAAATAATATTAACAATCCAGGTTGTTAAATACAGAAACATTTAGTTCCTAAAAATGTCATTGTTCAGGTACATTGTACGTATATTTGGATTTTGGAGTCCAGTAATACAGATGAAGAGACATTTTGGAGGCGGCGAAGAGGAGAAATCTTGAATTACCTCAAGAGCAGCTGAAAGGTAGAGTGGTTTACCGTAAATTTTACAGGACATTTTCCCGACTGTTGCGTTGTTTGATTCTGTTTCAGCTCTCCGCGCAGTGCTGCTGTTTTGCCCGAGGATGCAACTAACCCAGTGCTATGCAAATTTGTAATCGAAAGCGGACCGGGAGAGATTGGCACAGGTTCGAGTCCCGACGGTGGCAGGATTTTGGACACTAGCGTATCAGGTAGGTCGAATTCAGTCGCTGTCTGGAGAATTCTCGTGGCCGTCGACTCTGAGCGGTAGCTTTCCGTGGTTTCTCCTGTCAACACCAGGCGAATGCTGGAGTAGTACTCTACCAAACGGGCCGCTCACACACACACGCGCGCGCGCGCGCGCGCGCGCGCGCGCGCGCGCGCGCTACACAAGCACACATGACAGGAGATCGGTTGGGAGCTTAGAGCTTGTTCCGCCTGGAGCTGTGCCCCGCTGGTGGG